ACCTGCTTGTCAGTTTTGATGTGGTTTCCTTGTTCACCAAGGTGCCTGTGCCTGACACCATCGCAATCATTGAAGACTTGGTTCATCAAGGACTGAATGCTGGGGTACCCCCCCTGGTGAGACACTGCTTAACCAATACATACTTCACCTGGAATGGAACCTTCTACAAGCAAATTGAGGGCACCCCAATGGGCTCCCCCCTATCTCCGGTTGTAGCCAACATCTTCATGGAGAAATTTGAGACGGACGCCATCCAGACTGCCACTCTACGCCCGACCTTATGGAAGAGGTACGTAGACGACACTTTTGTCATCTGGCCACATGGCCGACCTGCTCTAGACCAATTTCTCGACCACATCAATTCCATACACCCAGCCATCAGATTCACCATGGAAGTCGAAAATGATGGCAAGCTACCCTTTTTGGATGTCCTAATCAAAAGGAGACCTGATGGTTCAATGAGCCACTCTGTCTACAGGAAAGCCACCCACACGGATGCTTATCTAAAACCGGATTCCCACCACCATCCATCCCAGAAGAATTCCCTCATCAAGACTCTATATCATAGAGCCCAATGCATCTCCGACCATGAACACATTTCCAGTGAACTCAAACACGTACGCCAAGCTCTTAAGGCTAATGGTTACTCCGACTACACAATCCGCAAAGCCATCACTCCAACCATCAAGAAGGATCCTGTTGAGGAGCCTTTCAAGACCATCACCTTACCCTACATTGCTGGGGTCACAAAAAAGATCTCCAAAATCCTGATTAAACACAAGATCCAGGTCCGATTCAACACAGTACATAAAATCCGTGATCTGGTCCCGTCTGTAAAAGATGTGGTTCCAGACATACAGTACCCTGGCGTCTACAAACTAAGTTGCCTCTGTGGCAGCAGTTACATTGGAGAAACCAAACGACATGTCTCGGACCGCATCCGTGAACATAAGGCAGACCTGAAACACGGTAGGACAAACACCTCAGCCGTGGCAGATCACTGTTACAATTCAGTGGGCTCACATGACATTGACTTCTCCAAGACAGAGGTTCTCTGCAAGCCATCTGGCTATCATGAGAGATTCGTTCATGAGGCGATCCACATATACAAACACAGAGACAATTTCAACCGAGAAGATGGATTCTGGCTTAGCAATCATTGGAAGGACGTAATAAACCATTTCGGATCTTAACTGATTGTGTTCACGTTAACGGTGACTTTCAGACCGCGTTCCACTCACTGGCATGGTGCAGTGTGCAGAGTAATGTATGGTGTCGTAATTGTACAGTAAACATATAGCAGTATGATACACATTAGGGTGGGTAGAATAATACATAGTGTTATATTAAAATGGATAAGGCAGCAACTGCAGCAGCAGCAGCAAGTGCAGCAGCAGCAGCAAGTGCAGCAGCAGCAGCAAGTGCAGCAGCAGCAGCAACTGCAGCAGCAACTGCAGCAGCAGCAGAAACTGCAGCAGCAGCAACTGCTGCAGCAGCAGTAACTGCAGCTCCCTTTGATGCTGTTAATCCTGCATAATGCACATGCATATGCAGTACTAATTACATTCCTGCATTTCCCATAAATATGCTAAATTCCTGTTGATATGCAAATTCCTTTGTCAATGCGCCCAGCTTATATATATGCTCTAAGCCCGTGTGCTGTTTCATTCAGACTCTGTCGCCTCGACGGACCTGGTTTTCACCTGAGGACGGCTGCTTGCGTTGTGGCCGAAACGTCGTGAGAATTGTTTTATTATGTTTTATTTTTATTATTTTATTACTTCCCTTCTACGTGACTTTACCGAAAGAACCAAGAAGATGAATCCCTGCAGTCACGAAAGCTTTAAATCGAAATTTAACCGCCTCTACGGGGAGGGTTTCCACATAACTTTGAGATCCTTCAACAAGCTCCGGGATAAGAAGGCTCAGCTAATCGAGTCTCTCACCTTTCTGAAGAGATGCCGCGACTCTAAGGTAATACCAAACGCATTTACACTAACATCTGCTGCTGTAACTTCTTCTAATGCGAAACGAATTCTGTCTAGAACTAGTTTAGCTCTTATCTCAGAGAAAATCAGACTTACGCGCACCGAACTAGATCAGTTAGACAAGACACTCTACAAATCACACTTATCTTTGAGTATAACAATGTCCACATCGGATTGGGAACATGTGGAAAAAATGACTGCCTCTTCAGCTGCCGCTATGTCGAGTAAATGTAAGGACAACTTGATTTCCAAATTCAACCGCCTCTCAAACAAGAAACCGGACCCACACATTGAAAAGCTAGATGTTAACAAAGTCGTAATTAATCGCAGTAACAGTCCTATTTCTGAAGGTTTGAAATCCGTTTTAGCTAAAGGACTAAACTTTGCAGTCACACCTAGACACATACCAGTTAATGATATCATTGCTCGAGTAGATGTAGCTCTCAAGGGCTTGAGTCACATCGCTGCAGACGTAGCAAGATCTGAAATCTCTGTAACCCTCAAAAACGCTAAGATGCCAGCTAGCAACATTAGCAAAGATGAGCGTTTTGAATTAGCTCAATTAAAAAAGAGGGATGACATTGTCATCCTCTCAGCCGACAAAGGCAATGCCACTGTCATCATGGACAAAATAGAATACAACAACAAAATTCAAGAACTACTCAACGATGGCAGCTATACAAAAATAAAAAGAGACCCTACCAACAGCCTCGTCTCCAAAACCAACAACATCATTTCTGCTTCAACCGCATTAATTGATCAGACCAAACAGTTATCGTTGAAACCTTCTGCAGCCAGGCCACCAAGATTGTACGGCTTGCCAAAGATACATAAAGAAGATACACCTCTTCGTCCCATTGTCTCTACTATCAACTCCCCCACTTACAAACTGGCTCGTTTTTTGTCCGAAATCCTACGGCCTTTCACTGGAAAAACCACCTCTGCAGTACTAAACTCTACTGACCTGGTATCGACAATCAAGGGGATTGCCCTGTCCCCAGACGACCTGCTTGTCAGTTTTGATGTGGTTTCCTTGTTCACCAAGGTGCCTGTGCCTGACACCATCGCAATCATTGAAGACTTGGTTCATCAAGGACTGAATGCTGGGGTACCCCCCCTGGTGAGACACTGCTTAACCAATACATACTTCACCTGGAATGGAACCTTCTACAAGCAAATTGAGGGCACCCCAATGGGCTCCCCCCTATCTCCGGTTGTAGCCAACATCTTCATGGAGAAATTTGAGACGGACGCCATCCAGACTGCCACTCTACGCCCGACCTTATGGAAGAGGTACGTAGACGACACTTTTGTCATCTGGCCACATGGCCGACCTGCTCTAGACCAATTTCTCGACCACATCAATTCCATACACCCAGCCATCAGATTCACCATGGAAGTCGAAAATGATGGCAAGCTACCCTTTTTGGATGTCCTAATCAAAAGGAGACCTGATGGTTCAATGAGCCACTCTGTCTACAGGAAAGCCACCCACACGGATGCTTATCTAAAACCGGATTCCCACCACCATCCATCCCAGAAGAATTCCCTCATCAAGACTCTATATCATAGAGCCCAATGCATCTCCGACCATGAACACATTTCCAGTGAACTCAAACACGTACGCCAAGCTCTTAAGGCTAATGGTTACTCCGACTACACAATCCGCAAAGCCATCACTCCAACCATCAAGAAGGATCCTGTTGAGGAGCCTTTCAAGACCATCACCTTACCCTACATTGCTGGGGTCACAAAAAAGATCTCCAAAATCCTGATTAAACACAAGATCCAGGTCCGATTCAACACAGTACATAAAATCCGTGATCTGGTCCCGTCTGTAAAAGATGTGGTTCCAGACATACAGTACCCTGGCGTCTACAAACTAAGTTGCCTCTGTGGCAGCAGTTACATTGGAGAAACCAAACGACATGTCTCGGACCGCATCCGTGAACATAAGGCAGACCTGAAACACGGTAGGACAAACACCTCAGCCGTGGCAGATCACTGTTACAATTCAGTGGGCTCACATGACATTGACTTCTCCAAGACAGAGGTTCTCTGCAAGCCATCTGGCTATCATGAGAGATTCGTTCATGAGGCGATCCACATATACAAACACAGAGACAATTTCAACCGAGAAGATGGATTCTGGCTTAGCAATCATTGGAAGGACGTAATAAACCATTTCGGATCTTAACTGATTGTGTTCACGTTAACGGTGACTTTCAGACCGCGTTCCACTCACTGGCATGGTGCAGTGTGCAGAGTAATGTATGGTGTCGTAATTGTACAGTAAACATATAGCAGTATGATACACATTAGGGTGGGTAGAATAATACATAGTGTTATATTAAAATGGATAAGGCAGCAACTGCAGCAGCAGCAGCAAGTGCAGCAGCAGCAGCAAGTGCAGCAGCAGCAGCAAGTGCAGCAGCAGCAGCAACTGCAGCAGCAACTGCAGCAGCAGCAGAAACTGCAGCAGCAGCAACTGCTGCAGCAGCAGTAACTGCAGCTCCCTTTGATGCTGTTAATCCTGCATAATGCACATGCATATGCAGTACTAATTACATTCCTGCATTTCCCATAAATATGCTAAATTCCTGTTGATATGCAAATTCCTTTGTCAATGCGCCCAGCTTATATATATGCTCTAAGCCCGTGTGCTGTTTCATTCAGACTCTGTCGCCTCGACGGACCTGGTTTTCACCTGAGGACGGCTGCTTGCGTTGTGGCCGAAACGTCGTGAGAATTGTTTTATTATGTTTTATTTTTATTATTTTATTACTTCCCTTCTACGTGACTTTACCGAAAGAACCAAGAAGATGGATAATACGAGTTGGAGACGTGCGTGCAGGGTGCAGTCTTCAACTCTTATCCACTCTGAAGGAGGGCGAAACGTACACGTTGGCAATTTGGCTCACGTAGCGATCTGACACAAAAATCAATCGGAACTCATAAAGTAAAAGGTTTACATCGCAGGGCCGTGAGAGATGACAATGGCTTGGTGCGGACCTTCATCCAGCAGTAGACTGAGCATGGCTGACGACGATCGTGAGTTATGCTGATGGTTAGGAGCCATGTTGGTGAGCATGCAGACAATGCGACACACGCCGTTTCCTGGACACACCGCGCAAGGGCGCAATGGGTTAAATGTGATGCATTCTCATTCACGGGTTGAAAAGACAATTCAGCATAAAGCTAATAGTATAATTAATGTTCAGACACAGTAACAGTTCAACGTTGCCTTGCATATGTCTGCAGTTTCCCCCAACCATAACAGAAGCGGTGAAGCTGAGTTCGCATTTGTGCAAGACGAGTGGTCGTGTTTCACACACAATTTATATGGAAAAAAAATAGGTTACCACATGTGATCAATCCACTGCTGGATGAATGTCTCCACCATACTGTCACCATCGATCGTGGAACAACTGCGCTTTTATTCAACTGATAACTTTGTTGGAGTATAATATTTTATTTCCAAAATACTGCAGTATCCATAATAGAGGCTTTTGGGTATGATCGTGTAAATATAAATGCATCGTTAAATTCGCCACCGTCACCTGGCACAGCCGATTAGTAAGGTTTGTCACGTAACTAAAACGTGCCAATTCGTTACTAGTACAGCACACCGATGCGTGGGAGAGTAAACCCACAACATTTACCATTCGAGTACAACGTTATGCATACATAATGTGCATGCGTAATGTGCCCACGTAATATATGTTGATTACCCTATGAATAACCGACCCGGTAATGTTTATTCATTGTCATGTCTATTATGCCCTCCCCCCATGTGGCCTTCGCGCCCGATTGTCTCACAAGTGACGACATCACGTGTGTCCCTCAAATTAGGAGGATATCTCCACAAATCTGTCTGTCGCCTGATCACGATGATTGTAATTACTGGCGAAACGTGGTACTCCAATTGCAAATATTGTGGGTTTACTCTGCAACACACCGGCGTGCTGTACTCGGAACGAATTAACACGTTTACTTTACGTGACAAACCTTACTAACCGGCTGTGTCGGCTGGTGGCGGGTTTTAACGACACATTTATATTGACGCGATCTAACCCAAAAACCTCGATTATGGATATTGGTCGCGAAGGCCTATTACTTGTTAAACTATATTGCCGTGGTTTTGCTATCGGCACCATGTCACGGGGTTAAGAAATGTATTGTTTGGGAATTCTGCAGTTGCCACTTGCCACGTGCGTCACCCCGTGTCGGAGCCCTCCAATGACGTCGATAAAAGTCATCGCGATCCACACGAGAGGCATGCTGCTTAATGCACCAACGATATATTTCGTTTCCTGTCAATCGCGTCAACATTTTTGAGTCTTCACACCTATAATAATCCAAAACGAGTGAGAGAAAAACTAACTAACTTCAATACGAAGATTTTGTGTGGCTCTGTAAGTTCATGACCGGACCGAACCCGTCGATGCACCCACCCCACGTGACAACGTGACGTCATCGCAGTTGTCTGCTCAGATAAACTCGGGGATGCTCAGCGCCACCGTCGACCTCACGGCGTCTCCGAGTTTCACGGCGACTGGGACAGCGTGTCCAAGGTGAAGGCGCAGCCCTGCAAGTGCTAGCTCACGCCACTGCTGGGGGGGATAAAGGCCTCCACTCGAGGGGGAGCTCTGTAGAGCCCCTTTAGAGAGGGTATTTTGTATTTGCCGATCAGCTGGCTGTGTTGTACACATTACGCTGCTGAGCGGTGGGTTGGGATTTAAGAAGTGTGCCATGTGTTTTCGGCTGCAGCGCCAGGAGATGAAATTGAATGGAATCGGCGACCTCTGGACTTGTACGTCCAGTGTAATAACCATTACAACAGCTGCAAAATCCCAGTCTGTGTGTGTGTGCCAAATGTAGCCCCTCCCTTTAGCTGTACGATTGCACATAGTCACGATGTAAATGTATACAATAGCTGAGCCACGAGAGAGCTACAAATGTGTCTTGTCTGTCCTCTGAGAATAATGATCTCACGCCCCCCCCCCCCCTCTCGCTTCCCCCCCCCCTCTCGCCCCACGTGACAAGGCAATGCTTCATTTGCTGGAGGAGGAAACAAGCACGGAGCCACGTGCACGGAGTGCGGCAGTGCCACTATTTGCCGCAGAAGAGACGACAACGCATGCTGGGGAGACTACGAACGAAGATGCTAAGGGACATCGCACGCGGATGAGGCGGCTGGATGGGCGGCGGACTTCTAAGAGGCAGGGCCACCAATCTGACACGAATTTATCTCTCGTCGCCGCCGAAAGTAAATCCGCGCAAATCCACGCCAATGATCCCGTGCATGCAAATAAAAACAGGCCGAGGTCTAGCGGCACTATCTCTGAAGTTTAGGCACCAGAGGTTGCAAATAAACCTTTTATTTTGTAAACGAGGAATGTGCAAGACTCGGGGTGAATTGCTCCGCCATTAACTCACGAAGGGCTCCCTCGGCTTTGAAGGCGCGTCCAAGAGATACTTGTCAACCGCGGGGCACTCTGTTGTTCATCGATGCGCGAGGAGACCGCCTCAACCTGCAGCGCGATGTTTCTGACGCGGTTCGATGTAGAACATCGTTGGAGAGAGCAACCTTAACACCCAGAGAGGTTTTCATTTGGCTCCCAATCAGCCAACCAGATTCTTCCTGGCCCCAGAGTGTTTTCCTGTGAGTCACTGCACCGTTCCTCCATCTCGTCCATTACTCGGAATTCTCCTCTGTCCTCCCCCCGCAGGTCGCAATAATTCACGTGGAGGTCTCTCGCACAGAGCTTCTCACTCTCCACAGAGTCACTTGGGGCCATTCTTGTTCCGTCGACATGAGCCACTCTGGCGTCTTGTCGCTTCCTTACGGAAGCCACTCAAATCATTCAATTGTCCCGCGAGTTTTTCGAGACTGCTCTCCAAGGTACTTCACCGTTCTACTTTGTGACTCACCGAGTGTGTGGATGGCCCGGTAGTGCAGCAAGGGCACGAGCTACCGAGGCGGTAAGAGGTTTGTTCTAATAAACGCGTTTTAACTACATTTAAAAGCGCGAATGCATCAGCGCTGTTCCTATTTCTTGTCTAGAAATAGCAAGGTGTGCTGCTCACAAACAAAAGGAAGACACGACTCCCATTATGCCTTGCGTGCGTATCATGTGACCACGTTTAAAATAATTATTTAAACTCTTAGCGCACCTCACGGTTGTTCGCTCGCTCTCTCGAAGAGAGAAATGACTCAGAGGCTCGAGGAGAGACCACAGATGAGCAGGAAGGGAGCAGCAGCCACGCGGTGAGCCGGCGCCAACAATTGCCCAAGCTCTGCAGTTCTCTACATATTGAGGTGTTATCGGCCAATGAATGAGTGTTGACTTGCGTGATGAAAGCAGACCACCCAGAGAAAACCCACGTGTGCGAGGAGGAAATCATTTCTATCACATACAGAAGGAAGAGGTGCGGGGGGGAGGTCCACATGTTTTGTTGTACTGCATTCTCATGGCTTGCCAGGATACGGCACCTCGACACCCACTGCGAGGAGAGTGTGATCCATCAATTCTCCAATGCGCGGTGCTGGATTTCAGGCCACGTGCATAGCCGCCACCGCCCGGCTCTGTGCGCGCATTGCTCTCAAACTACCTGTCCAGCTGTCCGTCCATCTGTCTGTAACATTGGGGTCACAGTAAGCCTCAGGAAGATGACCCGATGTAAATACATGTTTACTTTGAAGTTGTGTTGCCCCGTCAGTCTTTAGTCCTGGTAATTTGCATTTAATTCACCTGTCGACAGCCGCCGTTATTTGTTGTTGTTGTTGCGTGGTTTATTCTTTTCACGCGTCAATTAAAGCTTCGCGCGTTCACTCACACCGCTTCACCCTGCCGCGTACGCCTCCTGGTAACGTATCTCGCATCTCGCTCATTTTTGCCCGTGGCCTCTGAATAGATCTCTCCCGGGGACCTGCTCGCGGCAGGCGCGCCGCGGAGTGACGGCGCGCGGAGAATCTTGATGCCTCTCCATTGTGCTCGGTGAACAATTGCGACGCCGACGCGCGGTGTGTCACGTGGCGGTTGTTGTTTTTTTTCTTTCTCCTGCTTCGTAAAGTGGAACGAGCTTGGAAGAGCGGTTTGTAAAATAATGACTAAATGAACACGATAAGATACGTGGCAAAGCGAAAACATAAATACCATTATCGTCAGCCGTGCTCAATCCACCGCTGGATGAAGGGCCTACCCCCAAGCCTTCGCCACCACCTCTGGCCATCGCGCGACGCAATAATCCCCGCTCGGCACCTGCTCACGAGCTCATTGCGTCGCTCCATCTCCGTGGTCGGACGTGCTCGCGGATGCATTCCGCTCCGTTGTTATTCTCGACCATCGACCCATCGCCCCGACTCGCAACACGAGTCCACTTTCAGTAATGTCACGCATAGCGTGCACGCCTTCTCCAATCCACGTGCTCCCCCTCCCCCCTTTCCGCCTCTCAATGTGATTCCGAGCGTGGTGTCCCAGCGTGCTTTTGTGCGCACTCTCCAATTCTTTGTTCCGTTTCGTAGTCGCGCGACGAGTGAGCGGAGGTGCGGTAAACTCACAATTTGTATCGATTCGCTTTTTGTTGTTGTTCTCTGGATTACAATGTCGAAGGAACCATTAACGGAGATGGGCGAAGTTAATGATGCGATGGTAATTGTGCAATGGTTAAGTGGTTAAGTGGAAAGGGGAATTGGAGCGGTGGGCGCACTGGTAAGCACGTGGCGCTATGCACCGGCGACCGTGCGAGTATGATACCCGGGCACGGCTCTCATCAGTGGCAAGCGATACCGGTCTTGTCTCTCCTACCCTTCACCAAGCCGCACTGATCAGCGTGTTGACTGTTATTAAACCAACCTCCCCTCCATGACCAACATGATGTAGGGAGGCCTTCTATCATTGGCAAATTTAGATTTGCTGGAGTTAATTTCATGTTTTGTTTAAGAGTCACAATCACAGCATTTAAAATGTTCTCTTTTATTTCAATAATCGTGGGTTTTACCTCATACCAAAATAAACCTAACATAACCTCATGGCATAGGCAATTATAATCCAAACACGAATAATAGCGTTTACTCATAATGTCCCATTGTAGTTTCAGCAAATAATTATAGGATGAAAATAATAATCACGTGACTGTTAGAAAAAGTGGAGTCTACCCCAACACGCAGCCTCCAGAGCACAGAGTTGGACCCAGAGATAACTATGTGCACAGCAAGCGTCACGAAGCGGGATGAGCGTCTAAAGTGTCTCAAACAGAGTTGGACCCAGAGATAACTATGTGCACAGCAAGCGTCACGAAGCGGGATGAGCGTCTAAAGTGTCTCAAACAGAGTTGGACCCAGAGATAACTATGTGCACAGCAAGCGTCACGAAGCGGGATGAGCGTCTAAAGTGTCTCAAACAGAGTTGGACCCAGAGATAACTATGTGCACAGCAAACGTCCACGAAGCGGGATGAGCGTCTAAAGTGTCTCAAACAGAGTTGGACCCAGAGATAACTATGTGCACAGCAAGCGTCACGAAGCGGGATGAGCGTCTAAAGTGTCTCAAACAGAGTTGGACCCAGAGATAACTATGTGCACAGCAAGCGTCACGAAGCGGGATGAGCGTCTAAAGTGTCTCAAACAGAGTTGGACCCAGAGATAACTATGTGCACAGCAAGCGTCACGAAGCGGGATGAGCGTCTAAAGTGTCTCAAACAGAGTTGGACCCAGAGATAACTATGTGCACAGCAAGCGTCACGAAGCGGGATGAGCGTCTAAAGTGTCTCAAACAGAGTTGGACCCAGAGATAACTATGTGCACAGCAAGCGTCACGAAGCGGGATGAGCGTCTAAAGTGTCTCAAACAGAGTTGGACCCAGAGATAACTATGTGCACAGCAAGCGTCACGAAGCGGGATGAGCGCCTAAAGTGTCTCAAACAGAGTTGGACCCAGAGATAACTATGTGCACAGCAAGCGTCACGAAGCGGGATGAGCGTCTAAAGTGTCTCAAACAGAGTTGGACCCAGAGATAACTATGTGCACAGCAAACGTCACGAAGCGGGATGAGCGTCTAAAGTGTCTCAAACAGAGTTGGACCCAGATATAACTATGTGCACAGCAAGCGTCACGAAGCGGGATGAGCGTCTAAAGTGTCTCAAACAGAGTTGGACCCAGAGATAACTATGTGCACAGCAAGCGTCACGAAGCGGGATGAGCGTCTAAAGTGTCTCAAACAGAGTTGGACCCAGAGATAACTATGTGCACAGCAAGCGTCACGAAGCGGGATGAGCGTCTAAAGTGTCTCAAACAGAGTTGGACCCAGAGATAACTATGTGCACAGCAAGCGTCACGAAGCGGGATGAGCGTCTAAAGTGTCTCAAACAGAGTTGGACCCAGAGATAACTATGTGCACAGCAAGCGTCACGAAGCGGGATGAGCGTCTAAAGTGTCTCAAACAGAGTTGGACCCAGAGATAACTATGTGCACAGCAAGCGTCACGAAGCGGGATGAGCGTCTAAAGTGTCTCAAACAGAGTTGGACCCAGAGATAACTATGTGCACAGCAAGCGTCACGAAGCGGGATGAGCGTCTAAAGTGTCTCAAACAGAGTTGGACCCAGAGATAACTATGTGCACAGCAAGCGTCACGAAGCGGGATGAGCGTCTAAAGTGTCTCAAACAGAGTTGGACCCAGAGATAACTATGTGCACAGCAAGCGTCACGAAGCGGGATGAGCATCTAAAGTGTCTCAAACAGAGTTGGACCCAGAGATAACTATGTGCACAGCAAGCGTCACGAAGCGGGATGAGCGTCTAAAGTGTCTCAAACAGTGTTGGACCCAGAGATAACTATGTGCACAGCAAGCGTCACGAAGCGGGATGAGCGTCTAAAGTGTCTCAAACAGAGTTGGACCCAGAGATAACTATGTGCACAGCAAGCGTCACGAAGCGGGATGAGCGTCTAAAGTGTCTCAAACAGAGTTGGACCCAGAGATAACTATGTGTACAGCAAGCGTCACGAAGCGGGATGAGCGTCTAAAGTGTCTCAAACTGAGTTGGACCCAGAGATAACTATGTGCACAGCAAGCGTCACGAAGCGGGATGAGCGTCTAAAGTGTCTCAAACTGAAACCCAGAACTAAATGAAAGTACTATTTTACCTTTTTTTTTATTTTTCCACGCAAAGCCCACTGATCTACGGTAGCTATTTTTCAGAAGCGACTGGCCACAAATGATAGCTCAATGAAGTGGCTTAACACGTGGAAATTTATAGCAGTAACCAAATACTCTAAACGCGCGTTTATAAATGTGGAAGGAAAACCCGGAGCACTCGGATAAATATCTACACGGCCATGGGGAGAACATGCAAACTACAAATATACAGCAGGCGTCAGGGTTTGGGATCAAACCTACAATCTCTTGCATACCAGGCGAGGGAGTCATCATCTCGCCACCGTGGCGCCCTCAATATCCAGCCAAACCATGGACAGCTGCATTCTCTTCAACTAATTTCAAGCGTTGATCGGTGTTCTGTGACGCACAGCTGCTTCAACTACGTGGTTTTCCTTATTATAAAGCCTTTAAATAAGAGGTCATTATTGAGCAACTGGGGCAGGCCTCTGAAAGGCCAGTGGCAAGCGGTATCCTTCTGCTGCCCACGACGCCACTTATTCAGAATAGTCGATACAAATGAAAAGCAAGCTGATCGTTGTAATGGCCTTTCACATCGATAGCTTTATTTGCTTCACCGCCGTCTGAGAACATTTGTTGAGGGTTGACCGGTCGTCGGAAGATCCATGGACGTTGTGGACAGCTGTTTTGTGGACTCTAGATCAGAGTGGTGGTTGGTGGGGGGTGTCTGATTACTCTGATGTACCCTTCGCATTTGAAGTAAGTAGTCTCTAAAAGCAAACCTCATTTACTCAGTGTAGTGGCTGGAACATCCTGTCCAAATGGATATTATTCATGATATTCCTAATTAATGTTATCGGGGGTTATTAGCATCTCTGAAGCTGTCATCTTTCCGCTCATTGCATCCGGCAAAAAAGAAAGAAAAACCCACCGAA